AAAAATAATGATTGTTTGTTTGTTTTATTTGTTGTTTCTACGTTTAGCTAACATGGTTAATCTGAGGTTTGTATGTATATATTTTGGGTGTGTGCATGTGATCATAATTTTTCTGTTCAAAAGTGAGACACTTTCTGCCTCCCTATTTTTTTTTTTTTAATAATTAGCAATACTAATTGGATGACATTATTAAACGCATAGTAGGTACTTATTATTTACTACGCTAATTCAATTTACTTTATAATAATGATAGCGGTCAATGCCTCTTTAGTGTCACTCAAAAATCAAAACCATCAGGGATGATGATTTTTATTTTTTATAACACGTCATATTACCGAATGAAATGTGTGTTGTGTTTAAAATGTGCCCTGAATGCGGGCAAAAGGGGGACGAAAATCTCAAAAGCCGGAAAATACCCGTAAAGTCCGGTCACTCTCCGACAGTACGTCAGTACCTAAGTATAAAATATTTCGGAAAAAAAAACGTAAAATGATAAAATTATCATAATATTATGACGAATGATGATATTATCTACTTTTTTAATATTTAAAATATTTGTTTTTGTAAAATATAATCACAATCATTAGGTACCTACCTACAATAATTTGATTAAAATATTAAATCATTAAAAATATCTGAAAATAAAAATTATTAATTTATAATATTCAATAATATAGTATTCCCATGCAACTTTTACGTTTTTGTTTTTGTATAAATGTGTTTTTTCTAACCCCGAAATCTTTGGGGTTTTCAAAATTTTCCGCATAATTAAACAATAAAAACACAAGTTTTTAAAATTATTATTTTACCACAAATAAATCTTTTATTATTTAAAATTAAACAAATAATACACCTTTATTTTTTTGTTACCTACCTATATAGCTAGGTATTAAAAATTATAATGATATATTATGTTGTAAAAAGTTTTTATTAAAAACAAATGTGATATGATATTAAAAATCTTAAATTTAATTATAATATATTAAATAAAGTAACTACTAATTTAAAAAAATGTATATACATCATGAAAATAAGCACACTTGGGTTGAATGGTATTTCCTCAATTCTTTAATATTATAACATCATTTATCAAATTATTGGTTATATTTTCGGTATGTTGATTTTTAGTCCGAATCGTAAAAACACTACTCAATATTTTGAACTTGTGTTGAAACTTTAAAATTTAAATATTTAATGTCAACATTCAATACGATATCATTACGATAATTTGAGCATTTGTTCAATAGGTACTGTTAAATTTAATGTAAACATATACCCATAGGCCATAATATATTCGTATACATAATATAATATAGCTACAAGCCTACTATTTCGTAATTTCGTAAATATAGGTACAAGAGAGATAATATTAATACTTAATGACTTAGATTATAATCGTATATACAAATATACAATTTGTAAACCGGATGTAAAATAAATCATTAAAAAATTGTATTTAAATCTTATAGGCTTAAATATAAAAAAAAAATCAGGATTAATGGATTTTTGGAAAGTTTAAACGACATTAAAATTAAAACCCGACTAGACTTGTATTCGTAATAAATTGGAATCTTTGAAGTCGAAACTACGATGGTATATTTGATATTATTTTACTATATTTTGTTGTACATCGAAGTTACGATTTGAATAGATTTCTGGAAGAAGTGTTGGAGTGTCAAAACACTTTGCTGAAAAAGATGGTGGAAGATCAAAAAGACCTGATGTCCTTGTTGAAATGGACTGCTGAACAGAACGCTGCCATTCGTGGCGATTACTGTTGCAGCTCCTGTCTGAATTGCTCTAGAGAGTTTCGAGATTTCGATTACGAAAACAGTGCGGATGGCCGTTTCAAAGATTTAATCAAATGGCTTCGCGACATCGGTATTGACGAACACTCGATAAAAATAGTAAGTTTTTATATGTTTATTTTTTATAGGATCAAAGTCTGACGGAATTTGTAGGTCCAGAAGTAGAGTTGAAATTCAGCATTTTGAAATAATTATGATCGGTTTTTTCAGTTGGTCAACGAACAGTTTTTGTTGGACCAAATACAACTTGAGGTCACAAGAGAAGATTTAAGAGATCTTGGGTTGAAGTGAGTAATAGTTATGTGACTGTTTGTAATTTATTGTTTTAACCCTTTTAAATTTGTATCGTTTAGACGAGGTGTTGAGTTGAGGCTGTGGAAAGAAATCAAACGGCACAGAGAAAATAACTTATCGTCATCTGGCGGGACAATGACGTCTGTCACACCGCAGCCTCTTTTACCGTCATCTACTAATAACAATAATTATGCCTTTGATGCACTGCAACAACTGCAGTCAAGTCGCCGTATGAGCAATCACATTAACAATAACTATGTGTAGCGGTAATAATAACAATACTGTGTTGCAGTTTTGTTCCATTTGTCACACTTATAAGTTACCTATCACCATTTATTCAAGTATAGACATGAATAAATAGGTAATGTTTTTTTTTTGTATAATTATTACAGAGTTTACGTAATAACAAATTGAAAAATTGTTAATGAAATAATTTATTCTAATTATATACTTAATAATATTATAACCACTATGTGCAATCTCCTTATAATTATTATATTAATAAAAACAATATAGTATTTTTTGTTATTTAAATGCATGAGTTAAATTGATTTATCATTACTTTAGAATACAATAATTTATTATTATAAATAAATATAATAATTATAATTATTATTATTATATTATTATTATTGTTATAATATGCACATACAGTGCCGGGGCTCCTCCGTTTTTTTTTTTAGGGTCTCGTACATGTTTTTATTTGCTTGTGCCTGTTCTATATAGGGAGTAAGGACCCCGTAAAGTATTTATCGATATATCTAACCGTACTCAATTTTTCTTTGCAGGGCCCAAGATGCTTGCCTATTATAGTGTGAGCAGAGCACTATAATAGTACAAGTATCAAGTAAAAAGTATGAGGAGGTTTTTTTGGATTAATTGTGCTACTGCAAGCTATGTTAGGTTTTAAATCTCTCCTTAAAAACAATGGGCTCAGACGAGTCCATGAGGGCCCCACCCTGCAGCGGCTCCGCTGTTGGATTCAGCGATCATGAAAATATTGCATACAAAAATATGTATAATTTATAATAATATACATCTACTTATACCTATATATACTTAATTAAATGCTAAACAATGATGAAGATTTTACATTTACTTTTGAAAGTTTTCGTGAATAATATTATGCATATGTATAGCTTATGGATTTGTCTTCAAAGTTAAAATTCTACAGGTAAATGGTAATATAAATATAATTTAGGTTTTCGTAATTTCGTTTTTGTGTAATTAATAATTATTATTTATTATTTTGCAGTTTCAAATATTTTAATAATTTTATAGTTTATTTTACTAAACAAATGATTCCTCTCGTTAGGCTTAGTGTTAATATTATAGGGAGCAATTTTTAAGGCTTTAAGCGTGCTCTTTCTATTTTTTACTTAAATTGTGCATATAATATTCAAATTTTGATTCTTAGAAAACGATGTTGTTACAATACAAACTTCAGTTTTAAAATAGGAATCCTCTTTTTATACTTTTAATAAAGTAAACAAAATTAATGTAAACGTTGAAAGATCTACGTTTACAAAAATATGATCTGCTAAATAATTTGCAGTAAAAAAGGAGATCCTCATTTGAAAAATAGAAGTTTGTATAGCCACAGGACACTCTTTAATAGTAGTGTAGTGTATTTAGTAGTAAAAAATTTAATATAAACACTGAATAGAAAAAATATATTTTGGTAATTTATTAATACTGATATATTTTGTATTTGGTATATGAATATTGTTATACTTAATATATCAAATGTTTTGGTTATAAGACTTATGATCCATGAACTATGAATACAATCATTAGATAAGATTATACAGTAAAACTCGATTAAGAAGTTTTCCCGCTTAAAACGCTCAAGAGAGCTGGTCCCTTAAAGAGCGTCTTAAGCGAGTTTTACTGTATATATATATATATATATATATATATATATAAGATTAATAATTATGTAAGTAATATTGTATACAAGTTAATTTATTCATGAGAAAGGTTTTCTTCTTCTTTCTAACAATTTAACTAATAATATATTAAACAAAATAAAAAAAAAAAGATGGATAAAAAGACTGCTAGACCATAACATTAACATTAACTTAACCTTAATCACAAATGTCCAGACCTGTTACTCCATCCCTGAAGAGGCCTGTGAATTCATGCATAAAAAACATGAAATATGCATGCACTAGTACACTCAAAAAGTAGAATAATATGAATTAAAAATTAAAAAAAAAAAAATTACAATTATGTAAATGGCTTGAAAAGTAGAAACTTTGGAAGGTAATAAGTAATAACTAATAAATAATATGCGAAAAATATTGTACATCAATTCAAGTATGTATTATACAACAGGTATCTAATTTGGCCAATTAAGAAACAAAAAAAACAAATAAAAAGTTGTATATGCTTAAAATGTGCCAAGTACAACTGTATACTTAGAATGATAATGTCTTAAAATCAAATGTGTATCTTACGTATTCTAAATTCAAAAAATATGCTAAATTTTTTAATCAGTTTTGCTAATGAAGCAAGTTACACATAACTGAATTAAAGTATGGAGTACACAAATGCAATGACTAAACACTATGTAAATAACATCAAATCCCAAAAATGTACATAAGGTGTTTGTCTAGAACTCTTATATTTCAAGAAAACACCTCACAATTTTATATACCATTTAGGAACAAAACTATTCTAAAAATATCTTTCATAAAAAAATAATGAAAGGGAATAATACAAATGTATTTTAATAACAAGGTATAAAATCTCTAAAAAATATTTATAAATTAGTAATTCTTAAAAAGACAATGTATGTAATTAATAATAAGTTGAATTGATGATAAATGACGTCAAATGATCGTAAAATTCAGTTAATAAAAAAAAAAAAAACACCATAAATATAAAAAACAATGGTTAATCCTCATCTTCATCATTTCCAAATTCCAACATTTTGTTTATTTTATCTGAGGCTGTTTTGAAATCAATGGATCGTTTGGTGTTTCGTTTTTTGTTGTATTTTATTTCATCTTCCAGTGTAATTTTGGGAGCTTTGACTCTTTTCAATGCTTTGGCCTCAATTGATTTACTCAGTGGGGTGGGTGGTTCACTAATGGCTGAAGGTTTGGCGGTTGAATTCCATTGATAACTGAACAATGGAGGCGTTACACTCCTGGATAGGTCATTACCTGATGCTACACTTAATTTCCCTGGGGATGCCATAAAATTATAATCACTGACATTACCATAATCAGCATGGTCTATGGAACCAAAAAGGTCCGGTTCTGTTGACGAGCTGTTGGGGCAATGCATTTGTTTGGTTTTAGATTTATCTACTTTCAACTTTTTATGTGTATCACTGTTCAAAATTTCATCACATTTATTTTTCTTAGATCTGATTGCCTTTACACATTTGTTATTACTTTTATTGAGAGAAATTGCTGACGCCGATACTTTTTTTTTTTTAATTTCTTTCACAATGCTTACTTGTTTTATAGTTGTTTTATTCTTGGGCATTTGTGGTGATTTTTGCTTTATGGGTTTTTCATTTTCTTTAGATTTGGAAAGTAAACTAGTTTTAAGTTTAGATTTGCCTACACTGCTATTGGTGGAGTTTATGGGTTTTTCATTTTCTTTAGATTTGGAAAGTAAACTTGTTTTAAGTTTAGATTTGTCTATACTGCTATTGGTGGAGCCTATGGTTTTTTCTTTTTCTTTAGATTTGGAAAGTAAACTCGTTTTAAGTTTAGATATGTCTACACTGCTATTGGTAGAGTTTATGGTTGTTTTCATTTTAGATTGTTGTTTGGTATGGTTTTTTGTTACAGATGAGTTTTCTAGTGTATTATTTTTTGATTTTGCAGCACTGCTTTTATAACTGTTCAATATTTTTGATTTATTTATTGATGTTTGATTGATATATTTTGTATTATTAATACTACTCATTGATGTTTTTTCAGGTGCTTTTGGCTTCAAAAATATGTTTGTCTGTAATTTTAAAATAACATATTAGTGAACCAAATTACTAAAATTTTATTTAAGATAAATAGTATAGTCTATTCCACGAGAGAATAATCACTTTTCGAGCATCATGGATGATTCTATTGGTGCGTCGAGAACCACGTGAACACATTACCACAAGGAAGTTAGTGGGGGATGAGTGGACCTGACGAGAATCGGTCGGCAGACTGATTATTCTTTGTGGAATAGACTATAGTTATTTTAACTAAAAAATAATTAAATAGGGGTTTATAAGATAAGATTAATTTATACTAATATCAATAATATTTGAGTCATTCAGTTTACGGATGGCAAAGATTAGTCCAGTAGAAACAAATCATAAATCTTAAACCCTGGTACAAATGTCTATAACCCTTGTCTAAGCTGTTTAATATTTCTTTAAAAATAAATATTAATGGTACAAATATAGTATACTGTATAAATCTTAACATATTATAAAACAAGTCCCTTTTTCTCTCTATACGCTTTGATCATTAAAACTAGGCAACTGATTTTGATGCGGTTTTTTTTAATAGATAGGGTGATTCAAGAGGAAGGTTTATATGTATATAACATGCATAATATAGTAGAGAAACGCTGTTCCTTTTTTGTATGTACGAGCATATCTTGAAAAGAAATCTACTTTTTAATATGGGTTTTGCTAATAAATCGGTCGAGTCACGTGGAAGGTTGGTTTATAAATGGTATGTAAAATAATTTTCCGTGGGGATTTTAATCGGGTGGGCAAAAATAATAACAATCCATGTCTATGTATATAAATACAAATAAATGTTTGTCTGTATGTCATTGAACTCCTCCTAAGCCACTAGACATATGTTGTGTTTTTAGGTGAATCTCTGAATGGTTTTGATTCACAATTAGACCCAGTTGGTTCATCCTGGAGAGGTGCTCAAACAGGTATTTTGAGATTTATGATAGAAATGTTTTTTTATAAATGGTTGCTATTGGTTATAGGAGAAATACAGGAAATTGAAAGTTGGAGGGTGTATACAGCTTGATTTTTAACTCATATAGGCTGTAGATAGGTAATAAGGGTATCTGCCCAACAGATAATTCAATACAAGTTGAAAATAAAAAGATAATATATATTTCCAATGATTGATAGCATTATGGAGTTAGCAATCAAACAAGATAACTTACAAGTAGCACTAGTGCAGTAAACATATTAATACTAGTGGACCATAAATTAAAAAAGTATTATTATACATTTGTTAGTTAATAACTAGTTAATTGTGGTGGGGAGCTCCATGATTAATTCAGAAAAATGTAAAAAGATTAATACTGTAATATTTTGATAACTATTTATACTGTTGTTCACACAAACACATAAATTATGTTTTTAATATAAATTTAATAGAATAATTATACCTGTTCTTTCAACTGAGATTGTCTTCTTTTGTTTATATTTATAGAATCGTTAACACTATCCAGCTTTTGTCGTTTGTTCGGATTATTGCTTAGATTCTGACTTATCTTCTTTTTCAAAATTTGACTTGGAGTTTCAAACATAGTGGGCTGTTTTTTTGGTTTTTTTGGTGTGGATGCTAGTAATAATGGCGTATGTTCACAGAATCTACGATGTTTAATTTTATTATGTTCAGTTTCAGCATATTCAGACATTTTTCTTTTTATATTAGCTTTGTGATTTGCAAGCGAAATATTTTTACTGTAAGTTGTTCCTTTTCTGGTCATACTTGCATCAAGATTTACAGCAGATTTTATTGGTTTGGCAATTGGTCCAGCAGGGGAACTTATCGAAAAATCAAACATTTGTTTTGTTTTATTCTCAACCCCAGTTAGTTGTTTCACAATTTTTCTCCATGTCCTTGGAATGCCATTGACAGATAAGCATGTTTGATATAGTTCGTTAGGTGATCCACTAATGATATTGCCAACCAAACGGTATAGTCCATTTTTGGTTTTGACTAAACTATTTTCTTTTCTGCCTTCTAAAACACCAGCTTCGTGACGCTTTTCAACAAGTGTTTGCTTATCTTCTCCCAACAAATTTCCTAAAGTATAAATAATTTTGGTTATATTAAGAAATAATAAAAACATCTATTTAAGGGATCGGTGGTGGTATTTAATTAAGGAGTTTATTATAGGCAATATTTAAAGTGAGTGACTGAGTGACTTGCAACTGTGTGTGTACGTACTACGTGTCCCGCACTACACAAGCAACGCCTAAGCACACAGCACAAGTCACCACCGTGGCGTCCCGAGCGTGAACGATCCAGAACGTTTGTCTTATTTTACTAAAAGCATGTACTTTTTGTCCATCCTAACGATCGATCTAGTAATGCGATAATACTTTTGAAAACTGATTTGAATTCGTCATAATGTCTACTTAAGATCGGTCAGTTCACATCTTTAGATTTCTGATTTAAATTCCGAATAATCAATGTATGAAAATTCCAAAATTTCAAAATATTCAAACTAAATTTATAAGTTGTTGGGGGGGGGGGATTGAAATCGGGAAAAGTGGACTGGCCGATCTCAAGTAGACACAATAACAAAATTCAGATCAGTTTAAGAAAATTATTATAGCATTACTAGGTTGATGAGTGTGATGGACAAAAGATTGCTATGTTTTTGCTAAAATAACTGTCCGCCACCAATCCCCTTAAAAATTTAAAATAATACGTTAAATTACCGGTTAAAATTAAAACATATTTTGATGATTGTTCTGATGATTTGATTAGTTTCACATTTAAAGACCACATAGACAGGAATTTTTCAACATTTTCTAATACATTTAATTGATTGTTTTGATGTTGACTTGCATCACTCTTTTTTGAGGTCTCATTTTTATTTTCTGTTAATCCAACAATAATTTTAAATCCAACATCTTCAAGAAGTGATTCAATTGAATTATTATCATCATTCATGTTTTCATTTTTATGTGATTCAGATACTGATTTATTCTCTTCAAATGTTACATCAGAATATGTATTACGTGCAGTTGGTTGATTTGTTGATAGAGATTTAGATTGCTGAGTAATTTCACGAGTATTATTTTCTTCAACAGTAACATTATGATTTTGGCTTACTTTCATAACTGTGGAACTTCTGGAAGGTGACTCTTGAGAAACACAGCTTGACTGTTCAATACGACTTAATACCACTTTAGGTTGAAGACAATCTGGCGGTTTAAATGGATTTAAAACTTCGCTAGATTCGATGGAATGAAAATTATTTTCTGGTAATCTCAACATGCTTTGGTCGCTAGAACTAACCATCGACATAGTGGTTGGTGGTCTATAGTTAAAACTTGTAGATGGCCTGTAATTGAAACTTGCTGATGGCCTAGCGTAAAATGGAGCGATATGTGATGAATTGGTAATCCGAGAGACATTAGCACCAGTACGATGCCCATCAATGATAAGGCGTTTTACACGTTTTAAAAACGTATTAAATTCGATATCAAATTTACGATAAGGATGGACCTTTAAAAATTCATTCAATATACTGTGAAGTGCAATAGTTTTCTCTTCTATAATGTCTTGAAAAAGTAAAGCTTCAGATTGCGAAGGATAAGCTGGAGGTGCCATAGGCATTTTAAATGTTGAATCCGTTGTACTTGTTTGGTTGCTCATCTTGAATTGGTATAACTAAAAAAAAAAACAGTTAATACATAAACGAATGAAAAATGAATTTATATTTTTTAAAACTATTATACCTAGCACAGTTCAATTCTAAGTACTATTACAAATTTTCTTTTTTGGTTGCCCTAAAATAATCGAAGTATGATATTATAGTCTGTCTCATAAAAGAGAGGTATCTTGTCTAGACGAAATATGGTCATTCTTGAGCATCCCCAACTCTCACCACAACTAGTACCACCACCATAATCGGTTACCTGCAACGATGACGGTCGTGGTAGCAAGTAAACACAAGCTGTGTATAAATAGCATCGACGTGAACCAATCGTTCTCAGATGTGATACATCGGGGTACCGATAGAGCGTGACAGTCCAGCATTGGATCGTAGCTCAGTCTACATGCGCATAACAGTACCTTTCTTATACAAATGTTTTACTTCCATGAATTCAGACAATTTTTATTTCATCGTTTTCCGTCATCAGTTTTTATTTATTTATTTAATTAATTACAATACAGGTCATGGACTCTAAGAAAAATTATAAATTTAAGTGAAATATAATAAAACTTTTGATGGTAAAAAAATTATGCCTACCTTTAACTTAAAACTATGATCACTAATGATCATATCATAATTACTATGGGTAATTTTTACTATGGGTAATAAGAATGGATTATGTATTAATTGATTATATTAATCCACCGTATTATATCAAAATAAACTTGGTATAACTTTGATACTTTAGAGTTAAATCATACACTTGCGTACAAACAGCACTGGGTCCGCGATCTACCGCAGGTAGATTGCCTACCTGATAATATACTGCTGGGAATCAGAATTTTTATTCCAGGCAACATAAAGGTTAAGATAAATTTTGAACACCATATACCGAATATTAAATAACGAATTGAATAAAGTTTGGGTCATATTATGATTCATTATAATATATAAATTATAACTCACAAATTATGATTCAGCAGTAACAGTTTTAGTTGTATCAATAGTATTATTAATAACATTCGAATATTCGATCTATAGTATTTTATATAAATTCCGTGTTCCGGAAACGATTACTCTTATAGAAAACAAACTTACTTTTACGTTATAGATGGATGTTGGTCGGAACTCGGACGTTGGACTCGGAGACGTCGAACTATGATGTACTTTGAACACTGATCATGTCCATGTAAGTGAATAATGCATATATAAATGATTAATGTAAGGAACAATGTATAATACTATAATAGATTAATAAATAATAATATTATTATTTGTTATGTGACGACATTTTAAAAATTCAAACTTCAAACTACCTACAAAAGTAAAAAACACAACCATTAGTCGTTAAAAAATGGTTCGAAAACGATACAAGGAACTGGAGCGGGGCCAATGGGTGAATGGCGATAAGCTGAATAGGCGCAGTGTGACCAACCGGCCGGCAGTGTTTCGGATGTCGATGCGGTGATACCGTTTAAATACGTTACCGTTTGAAAAGTGATTTCACTATAATTGTTCTATGCGGATAATAAACAGTGATGTATTGGTAATTTTTTTCTAGGGTATACGCTTAGCACATAAACTCAAAAAAAAAATTTTCTAAACAAACATAAAATTAACTTATGGTGGGTCGTGCGGTATACCACCGCGCCTTTATAATATGTCGATTTATTTATCTAGCCCCCCCCCCCCCCAGAAAACGGATTTTAGACATATTGCATCAGAATGAGATGGAGTTACAGTGCTTAGAAACTTCCTTTAAAAAAGAAACTAAATTCTTTACCATTCCTGCCTTGAAGATAGGAATTAGTTCCTTTCCTCGTTCCTTTTTAATGTGACTTAAAATAAAATAAAAAAACATAGGTACATCGTACATGTTTATACTATAATTGTTTTAATTTTAAAATTGTAAACATAACACATTGTTATTTAGGAATTTAGTAATAGTTTTAAATTATATAATTAATAAGCTGTATAAATAAACCTCTGCTACAGAAATACAGAATTTATATTTTGTAAACATTATCAATAATATCGTATACCGGTTTATTTTTATAGCTCTTCATATTAGTTACTAAATTTTAATAGAAGCTAAACATTTTTTTACTTTTAGTTTTAAAAATGATTTAATTACTTTTATTTAAAAATAAATGAACAAAGAAAGGAACGAAAAAAAATAGTTCATGTTCCTCTAAAAAGTGAACGAAATTTCAGTACGTTCCTAAACATGAAAAAGGAACTACGTTCCCGATAAGTTCCTAAAAATGGAACGAAATCAAAGGAAGGATTCCTTTGAACGAGTTCATTCCAAGCACTGAGTTAGAACTTACTTTTTGTTACATAATTTCGTTCTGTTTGCCATGTAAGCAGTAAAAAAAATTGATCAAATACATTTTTCTAACGATTATTATTTATTTATTTATTTATTTAAAATTCTAACGGATCGTAAGATCCAGGTTCAATATACAGTAGAAATCGGTTATAACGAGTTTCAAGGGCCAACTAGTTTTTCTCGTTATAACCGGTAACTCGTTATATGCGGTTAGAACGAACATTCGTTGAAACCGATTAAAAGCGGAAATACAAAAATAAAACCGACTTTTTTTATTTTAGACAAAAAATTTTTATTTACATACATTATTTATACATTTATTATTGAATTTATTATTTAACTTGAATTGATTTAATTTTTATTTAATTTCTTAAAATAATCTTTGACCGAACTTTGCTTCGTGTTAGAGTTGATCGATGTTTATATCCATATCTACAACTAAAGATAATATGTCAATGATTAACCGACCTAAATACGAAAATAGTTCGTATCTTGCAGGTACTTGTTCGTAGTAACCGGAAGGTCGTTAGTCAAGTTAGCTTTATTTTACTCGTTATAGCCGATAACTCGTAATAACCATACTCGTTGTAAACGTATATTTTAACATACAATCATATGCGCTCGTGCCGGGACCTAACGTTTTGCTTGTTGTAAGCAGTATCTCGTTCTAAGCGATGCTCGTTATAGTGATTTCTACTGTATATATATAATAGTACAATATTGAAATTAATATTAATTATACAAATAGTAGTAACAATAATAATAATAATAATAACCACAATAATACAAGAATAATAATTATAATTATAATACAAAATCCATTAAAAACATAAAGATCTATTAACATAATTATTAAAAGATTCCAAGGAAGTAAAATTAAATAAATCAATGTTGGTATCGTTCGCTAATGACATAATTCTGTTTATAGGTGAAGATAATAAATAATTTGTACTTTGAGAACCTATATAAAAAGCACGGACTAAGATATACAGGACTGGACACGACAAGGTTGGAGGGTGTGGGGGGGTTGACTACGAAATGTTTTACAACAGGCAGTGTTCGGGGGGATATTTTCCTTTTAGCATTACTAGCGCCGTCCTAGTGGATACTTATGGAACTAGAACACATCATACAAATTTCTAGTTCCATAAGTATCCACTAAGACGGCGCTAGTAATGCTAAAAGGAAAATATCCCCCCGAACTCCGCCTGTTGTAAAACATTTCGTAACCACAATATTCATCTCGTGTCCAGTCCTGTATATCTTAGTCCGTGATAAAAAGTATTATTAGACAGGGGCGGACTGGGAATAAAAATCGGCCCCGGGGAAGCAGAATATTCGGCCCAAAATTAAAAAAAAATACTATTTTATTATTATTAATTTATTCAGTAAAGAAATGCAAATGATAAGCCAAAGGTACACATAAAAAAGTATTTAAAAGTTTATAAAAATATGAAAACTACATAATTATTTAAAAATTGCTTTTGAAAAACTATAAATACTTAACTAAACATACATTTACTTTTTTTATATCTTTAAAATTGGTTGGATCTAAAAGAGATAAATCTGAGTATAATGAGCCATGTTTTGTAAATCGTTCATTAAGTTTATTGATAATTGTGTCCAAAACTATATTGTGTACAGTTATTTTGTATTTTTCAAGTGGATTTATTGTAAGTTGGTCTCTTGATACCTCACCTGCCATTTTTTTTTTAATTTTACGACGAACTGAACTTTCATCTGGGAACTGTGATTCAAGAATTTCGTCACAATCTACTTCTTCCAACTCTTTTTCTGCCCATACTATAAATGAATCAGTAGCTTCTTTTACTCTTTGAAAATCTCTAGATATTTCTTGTAAGTATGTTATAGTAGGTACTAGAAACCATCCTATATGCTTGAACTAAGTCCATTCCACTTGTTTGCAAATACTTGGACAATGGTGAAATACGCTCAAATATTCGTAAGTACCTATAATTGTGATGTCATGACAAAACTATATTTTAAAAAAGAGTCCTTTAATGTAATAGCTTTATATCGTGTTTCTCGATTAAACTTATCAGAATTTGAATTAGAATTATTCTATAATTTTAAACTAATATTATTATTTCTTTGTCTACGTATACAATTTTTACGTTTATTCAGTTTTAATTTTATCGGCCCAAAATAGATTAAGCAGCCCAAAATTTTACCGGCCCAAGCGGGGATAGCCCACTCGCCGCCTTAGCCAGTCCGCCCCTGTTATTAGACCTAGTTCTACGTTGAGGAACGTTACAATTGAGGAAACTTAATAGTTCTGGACAATCAGTGTAACCATTTACTAGTTTAAATAAAATTTTCAAATCTATTTTTTTTCTTCTATCCGATAAAGTATCAAGTTCAAACAAATTTAATAATGGCTGGTAAGGAGAATGTGACTCTCGTATAACATTACATTTGTATGCTAAAAAACGTATGAAACGATTTTGAACATTCTCTAAGCAGTGAATTTGATGTTTTTTGTTATTATAAGACAATTGGTAAAATCTTTTTTACTAAGAATATATTCTGAATAGTAATATATTACATAATTTCATAAATATAAAATAATTGACTGACTGACTTCTATAGTCATCTGTCTATCTGCAAATTCTTATCAATTTCGCTGTTTTCTACCAAATCTAACTG